GAAGAGGTGCGCCTTGACAAAACTGACGTCGACAGGGTAGCGCTGCACCAGCTGCAGGTACTCCTGAGCCGTACGAATAGCGCCCAGTCGTGCCTCACGGCACTCAGTGACGTAGCGCCCGTTGCGCATCGGGTGAGGCGGGGCTGAGAAGAGGCGCGGGTCCCACAGCAGCGGCTCCGCGCACATGTACCCCTCACACCCCGTTACCGACAGGTTACGCAAAACATCCTCAAACACCAATACGTTGCCGTTCCCAATGACGGGAATGGACCCGCACAGGTGCTCACGCACGCGCCGTATCTGCGCAACATCCGCAAGCTCCCGCTTGTTGTGCCGCGTGCGGCCGTGCACGCAGAGGACCGCGATGCCGGTGTCGCGCAGCATCTCTGCGTACTTCAGCGTCAAGCCGTCGTCGTCAAACACGCGCATCTTAGCTGTCACCGGCACCCGCAGCTCGACGGCGAGGCAGTGCAGGATGTTGTGCACAATCTCCCAGTCCTCCATGAGAAACGACCCATAGTGGCCACGGCGGGCGATGCCCTGCGGGCAGCCAAAGTTTATGTCAACGGCGTCGCAGTGGTCCTCCACAAAACGCGCTGCCGCCAGCACTGTTTCGGGGTCATTCCCGCAGAACTGCACAAAAAGTGGCCTATCTTTTTCCTCTCCACCCGGTGCTATCTCGGCGCTCACGTTACCCACAGGAGTGGCGCAGTGCGGCGTTGTGGAGAAGTAGTGTGCACGGTACTGGGCACTCTGTGAGAAGCTCCTGGCATGCAGCATGGGACTGTACGCCAGCGTCGCTCCGTAGCGGCGGCACAGCATGCGGAATGGCAGCTCGCTCTGGTCCACCATAGGCCCCACCACGTACATTGGTCTGCGCCGCTGCGGAGCCTGATGGTGCTGTTCCGCACCTAATGCAGCCCCAGCATCTCCCACACCATCGTGTGATTCACCGCCGCCATCGTCATTCCTCACGGCGGTGGGGGCGCAGACGATGTTGTCCCAAAAGTCCCACGGCGATTGCGGTTTCCGCCTTGGGTCGATGTGTTTTATCTCTGCGTTGCGGTTGCCGTTACAGTACGGGCACGTTGCGCTTCGAAACGGCTCCCCACGCCGCACCAGCTCGCGGTACTTCCCCAGAAGCGCTTCATTGTAAGCCATACTAAATGTACGTGTGTGCGGCTTGCGGCGTCCTCTTTTTTTTTTGCTGCCTTGCAGACACAACGGGTGGTCGTGCCCTCGGGTGCAGCACAACCCCACCCCACCAAAAAAAAGAAAAAAAAGAACGAGAAGCATTGGGAGGCGTGGGGGCAGCCGAGCGTCTGTGACAGTCACCACAGGGGGTGGTGGGCGACCACGCACCGCACGGGCGGCAGGTGACGCCGGTGCCATGCAGTTGAACGGAACAGTAGCAAGAAAAACATAGGCGGAGAGAGAGAGAAAGAAAGGAGGCTAAAAGTAAAGGGAGGCGTGAGTAAGGTCAAAAAGACGTCCCTGAGTCCATGAGTATTATATACAAATATATACGTGGCATCTCACAGCGGGAATCTCACACTCACACACACACACACGTGCATGTAAACATCAGGTGGCTCTGTGCGTGTCTGTGGGGCTCCCACAGCCGCAGCCCGAATTCAACTACCGCCTCACCAGCTCACTGCCGCGGTGCATTTACACGGACCTTCACAGACGCCTCGCCAGACGTTCAAAGCCAATTGGAAGATAGAAAGTTATATATATATATATATGTAAACTAGCTCTTCGTTGGCTTCTACTACCCGCTTAATATTAAACTCACACGCTACACATGGACAGATAAAAAATGATAAACAAACAAAAAAAATGCTCGGCATGGGTGTGGGCGATGCCGCTGCCTCCGCACTTACGGCCTCTATTTGCGGCACCAACAAGTGCCACGAATAGGTTAACTCCACCCCCTCATTGCACATTCACCCCCTCGCCTTGACCCCCTCACTCTCACGCACACACACAAACACAAGCGCCAACAATACTTCCAGCGGGTGCCTCGCTCCCTGTGCCCCTGCCGGGTCGTCCCCCGCCTCCATCACACACAAAACACGGAAAGAGAAAGCATAGCCCTTATCCACATGTCATGCATGCACAGGCCGACCACGTGCCACGGGGATCGTTTGCTGGCGTAGCGGCAGGAAGCCACCGCAGTGCACCGCACATACGCACACAAGGGAGGAGAAAGAAACACTATGATCAACGTGGGAAAAGTTCAAAATAAAACAAAAAGAACAAGACATACAGACACAGAGAGAGAGAGATAAAAAAAACACGAACCGAAAACAACAGCCCCCCAAATTGACGTAAGAACGGGCGGTGGGTTTGGCAGTGACAATCAAATGGGCATCAGACACAAGCGGGCCATGAAAGATGGGGGAAAAAAAAGAAGAACAAAACGAATTGAGCGTGGCCGAAAGAAAACACACACCTTGACATACGTAAGATATGGTGCTGTCGTCTGCGCCTCTGAGTGAGAGCGGGGGTCGCAGGAACAGACCCTCCTCACGCGCGTCTGCTCTTCATATATTCATACGCTCAGGAATAGTACAATCCTCTGCGTACGGCGCATGGTTCCACCCATTCGCCGGCGCCGTAAAGAAGCCACTCATCGCGGCATTTTGCTCAATGATGTGCCGCCGTGTGGGACGCTGCCCTTCCAGGCTTGGCGACACAACGCCCACCTCGACAGATCTATTGATTTCCTCCCCGTCCTCGTTGCTATTGCAGCTACGCGCGGAGTCCGTCCAGCCACCGAAGGGTCCGTTGCGCGCGTTGTCCTCAAAGCGGTGACGCAATTTGAACCGCCGCTCACGGAGAGGAAGTTGCATCGTTGATGACGACAACTCCCCGCTCCGGTAGCTTTCCCCTGCCTCCGTTTGGCTACGCGGCGACGGCGGCGCCAGGGTGCTCTCGTGTGAGAGATAATCCCCGCGGCCGTACACTACGCTGGAGCTCGCAAGCGTTGTGCTGGTGAGGCTGTCCGCGCTGGGCCGCCTGCGAAACCAACGGGAGTTTCTGCCGTGCGTCCGCACGCTTGGCGTACTGTTGTCGCCGCCACTGACGCTGTTGTCGTTTTCGCCACGCACGTCAGTAGCCTCCCTCTCCTGCCTCTGTGCGTTGAGCTGCAGCTGCCGCTGCGCCAGACGCAAATTCAGCCGCCGCTCCTCCGTCATGCGTGGCGCCAGCGAGCGCAGTGGGATGCCCCGCAACTCTTCGCCGTTCATGCTGAACGTGGGCTCGAAGAGTTTGTAGCGGTAGAACAGGAAGAGGCCGCCCCACACAATAATAGCAAGCCCGCCGAGGGTCCCAAAGATCATCGCGATCACGAGGCCCGTGTCGGACATTCTGGCTTAGGTGCACACACTACACACGGCGAGGCAGCAGCTTCCCTTCCCCGTCCCACAGAACGCCGACGCCCACCTCCACCGCAGCAACGACAAAATCCTTCTCACGGGCGTGACGGTGCACACGCACGGAAGCAGCAAATGGAAGAGAGAGAAAAAGAGAGCGGAGTACGTACAAACATACACGGAAAGAAGGGCCACTGCATACACACACACACACACACACACACACACACACACGACGGACAAGAAAGAAAAAAACAGAAGAAAGGAAAAAATACCGAGGACATCTCTCCCTCGCACCCTCCCACCGCTAGTCGCCCACCTTACACGCCACATCTCACATGGAAGTGTCGATTGCTGCGGACACAGG